TTAGCACCATGGTCCTGTTAGCACCATGGTCCTGTTAGCACCATGGTACTGTTAGCAGTAGGCCTGTCATGATAACAAATTTTGCTGGGCGATTAATTGTCTCAGAAATTATTGCGATAAACGATAATATTGTTTGAAATTTGACAATAATTAGTAATTATTGTCAAATTTAAGGAGAAATGTTTAATTTGTTTTGCATGTACAGTAGTACCTTTTTTCAACCACCAGAGGCAGGATAAGACTGAACTGAAGGATGGATAGTAAGGCAGCGAGCAGCATGTCTCTAAGAAAAATGGGAGGGAGGCCCCTTGATGTGACATGGGCTGTCTCTCTTTGGTTCTCAAAATGACGGACGCTTCGCTCGGTGTGGTTTGAGCTCTTCAGCATAGCATTTAACACACAAAGCTTTTAATTAAAAAAAAATCAGTAAACAAGTTCTCAGCTTCTTTTCGCAGAGAAAAACAACTTTTTACACAAAGACACAGGTTTTAACCGTGAATTCTGGAGCTTCAACAAGACGGAGGATTTTTCCCTGAGGTCGGCCTGTTAGCTTAGCTCGTAGCTTAGCTGCTTTTAATGATCCAAAAATTAGTTTTTGATCATTAAAACAGATTTTAAAGAGAAATGAGAAAAGGGGGGGGGGGGTCAGTGAAGAGAACCAGCGTTGAGCCGTCGTCAATAGAAAGAGAAAGATGAAGAAACGATAAAGCCGATAAATGAAAATGAGGTTGATAATTTTCATTCATCATGCGATTAATTGATTTATTGTTTATTGCGACAGGCCTAGTTAGCAGATGGAGGATCATGGAGACGGCCGACATGACAGGCCGGAGCCTGAGTCCGAGGCTGGAAGGAGGCCGGGAACTGAACCACGATGACAAGGCAGCAGATTTGGCTTGAAAACTCTGAAACACTGAAACTGACAAAATGGGAAAGGAAAAGACCCACATGGACATTGTGTCACTGGCCATGTCGACTCCAGGAAGTCCACCTCCACCATCCACAAGATCTACAAGTGTGGAGGCATCAACATGAGAACCATCGAGAAGGAGGCGGCCGAGATGGGCAAAGTCTCCTTCAAGTACTCTCACAGGGTGTTGGTGGGCTTCATACCACCAGTAAATAAGTCCCACCAGGAACAAACTTTGCAGATCCCACTACAGTAATAATAAAATGTAATAATATGTCAGAAGTTATCTGCTGGGAGATGGAAATGAACTCTGAGTCTGTTCCCAGGTCTCTGAAGCAGTCTGCCATGTTCTTCTCTGCAGATCAAGTTTAGCTCACACGTTCGTCTCTTAGCTTTGCTTCTAAAGGAAAATTAATCAGATGAAATGCGGAGAGTTGAAGCTGCTGGAGGACCTTTTATCTACCTTGACGGTATCCAAAGATTTTTCAGAAGATGAGAAAATAAAGTGGACATGTGTTCTGTTGTA